AACCATAATGTAATTAAAAGTTGCTTCTCTGCAGATATTTGTTTCCTTCCACAAGCATTGATGCTATTCAAAATTGGTTTTACAAGCATCAAAACTAGTTGGAATGTTCTGGAAACACTCTGCAACATAACTCAAAGTCAAATACATGGCAGATTTGTTATTTATCAATCATTGAGAGAAAATACATTTGTACAAACCTAAAATGTTGTTTAAAAGTTATTTTGGAGTATCCTGGAACAACTCGTTCCACATAATCGGACAACTTTTCAACTGCAGAAATTTCACCCCGCGTCTCATGTACCATCAATATGGCACAAAAAGTATTCATGTCATCATTTTCTTCATAATCTTTTTCACTGCTACATGATGAAGAAGTTTGATCATGAAAATCTTCATCAATTTGGTTGAAAATAGGAAACATTACAAAGAGCACATCACTCGCCATGTCTTCTTTTTCTTTTTTTTCAAATAGTTTTAATAATTAGATTTTATAGAGAAGACAAAAAAACCCTACAAATATTGTCCAAACAAAAATACGCACAATACAGTCGATCGTGTGAAGAATGACAACGGACTATTCCACGGATTCCACCATGTTTGTTTTCAAGTCAAACGAAACGCATCATAACAGTTCCGTTTCTCTATGCGCAGTAAGAGCATGAGAAAAACGGAACGCACCCATGCGCTCATGCGATGCGCTCCCGTCCATGCGATCCATGCGTGAAACGGAATGCACCCTAACGCTCGAAACCAACGGACGAGACGAGAGATATTTCGCGATTCCTGAACATCGATTAAAAAATCGTTTTTTTCTTTTTTTTTTTTTTATTATTATTATTATTAAAATTGCATAACTTTTCGAGTTTTAATGATAAAGGCGTGAAATTTTCAGGAAATCTTCGTCCATTCATGTAGTTTATAAATATCAAGTTAAAAAATTTATTTTCGAAAAAAATTTTTTACGTTTCTTTTGTTTATAATAAAAAAAATAATCGTTTATAACAAATAAGCGCCAGCGATCTGGGACATGGTTTTGACTTTAAATTACATCTAGGTAATCCAAAAATACATTTCAATAATCAAATGCTTGAACGTCGGTGAATTTGTTGCTGAAAATTTGTTTAAACAACAAATTCAAAAAACCACGTTACCCATAATGTAGAAATAACGCATGTCATAATCTTTATCTAGGTGTCTGTATTGCATTCCAACTTTTTTTGTCAAATTTAAGTTGATAGAATAATAAATTATCCAAATGCTACATATTCAATAATTTTTTGTTACAACATCAACTTCTTTTCTAATACAATAACACAATACAATAACTAATACAATAACACCATTCAATTTTACGAATTGCAATTGTTTTCTACTGCAACTCATATTTGTAAAATGGATAGATTAATATATAGTTATCAGGTGTGAGAAGCGTCAAATCTTAATTCCGCATTACCTAAAATTGGCAACATGTTAAAGACCGAAAAACATTGACGGGGCTATCTGTCCTATTTTTGATGGAGCAATGTGTCCACACATCAATGACGAATTGTTCTTTTATAAATAGATAATGGTGCGTAACTACAAAAGAAAGACTTTCCTTAAGACGGATAAGGTAGACATATCCAATAAAATTATATTTAGAGCGATTAAAAGAATCAAAGTTGAGCGAGAATATTTTCGTAAAAACAGCGTTAGACTTTGGAATAAATGTTCGGGCTCTCACTCGCTACTGTAAAAAAATGACCTACGAGCAACTACTTGATCCTGCGATTCAAGAATCGTCACCAAATTTTTATTTTTATTGTTAAGTTAAGTATATAAGTTTGTCTTAAATTAGAAAACGCGTTAATTAGTAAACGCATCGCCACCAAAAAAATCAACTACCTTGGTATAATTATTTGCGGAGATGATCATTCTATTCAAGCAGGAGTTTACCCCATATACTCCCCCGACGGGTTCCTACCTTGCCGAAGCCTCGGGGCGGGCGTGCGTGGTTCGCGGGACGCGGGGGACGACGGGACCGCTCGGCGGACCCGGTGTTCTCGGGGGCTGCGGGTGGCCGCCCTGAGGCGGGTGGGAGGGCTTAAGGGCGCGCACGGGGATCACCCGCTCAGGGTGTAGCCGGGCGCGTCCGACCAAAAGGAACCCCCTAAGCCAAGGTGTGAGCGACCGTGCTGAGGGCTGCGTGGCGCAGGGGGTGCTGCGTCACAAACGGTGCCTCCCGGAAACCGGGCGACCTCCAGGAGTATTTAGCCAAGCCCCGGGCATTCGCGGCTCTGCCCGGGTGAGATCGCGCGACCGCGGTACTCGTGGGACAAAAATGCAAAAAAATAATACAAAAGAAATAAACACGGAGTATGAGGAGGTCCTCCAGGGCGTAGCCACCTTAGGTGACGAACGACCTGAGGAAGTTAGACCGGACAGCTTAGGGAAGGAGCCGGACAAGGCCCAGCCACAAGCTGGTAAAAACCGGATAAAGTATAGCGGGGCGGCACGTCGTCGTTATAAGAAGCAATAGCAGATGGAGGGGAAGAGCAGCGCTGAAAAGCCTGCTCCTGAACCAAACTCTGCTTCTGCGACAATGCCAGGAACGGGGGAGCGAGCTTCCGCTGGGACGTGCAAGCGAACCAGATCGGAACAGAGCACACCCAGTCCCAGCACTACACAATTGGGCAAAAGGCCTAAGATCGCTGCAGATCAGAGGACTTTTGCCCAAGTAACATCCGGCTTAACAAGGGTGGCCATGGTTCCCATGGAGTATCCCGAGCAAAAGTTGGACCAAAAAGAAGCTGTGCTTTTGAGGGATAAGGTGAAAGAGAGTATCCTTGGCATTGCGAAGGGTACCAAAGCTCCCACCTTTAAGGGCACAGCAGATAGGGACGGTGCAGTTATTTTTAACTGCACCGATGCAGAAACCGAAGGGTGGCTGCGAAGCCTAACTTCGGTTTTAGAGATAAATGAGGTTAGGCTGCGTGCGGTGCAGCTCGATGAACTGCCTAGGCGTCATCGGGTTGTAGTGCACGTGGAGAACCCTAGAATGCCTGTCAAGGAGGCGATAGAGCTACTTGACAGGCAGAATGAGGGTCTCCAAGCCGCGGACTGGGTGGTCGCGAGGGGCAGCGAAAGTAGGGATGCCACGAGCACCCATTTCGCTGCCCTTATTGGGGAGGGAACGTTGGGTGTTCTTAAAACACTCAACTTCAAACCCTTCTGTGGTCTCAGCCAGGCGACAGTTAGGTTGCCTGGAGGGGACCGTAGGGGGGAGTTAGAATGGAAGGAAGATGAGCCGGGGACTGCCTAATCAATGGCGGGCTCCAACATCCCCTTCACTCAAATCAACTTGCATCACAGCAAATGCGCCTCGGCGGTTCTAGCCAGGTGCGCAGCTGTGATGCACACAAAGCACTTATTCCTCATCCAGGAGCCGTGGCTCGTCAAGGGACACATTAAGGGCCTTGGAGGTTGTGGTAAATTGTTCAAAGCAGACAACGCAGAAAGACCAAGAACTTGCATTGTGGCGAAAGGTATAGATGCCTGTCTATTACCACAATTCAGCGACGGCGACCTAGTGGCTGTAAGGCTGAAACTTAAAACAGGCGATGGAGGGATCAGGGACCTGATAGTGGGGTCTGTTTACATGCCCTACGATTCAGAGGAACTACCCCCCCAAAGAAACATGATAGAGCTAGTAGCATGTGCGAAGGAAAGGGGACTAGAACTTCTTTTGGGCTGCGATGCGAACTCACATCATTTGGTGTGGGGAAGCTCCAATATAAACCCGAGAGGGGAAAGCCTACTTGACTTCATCATAAGCACTAACTGGCAAATCCTAAATAGAGGAACAGAACCCACTTTCTTGGACTCTAGAAGACAAGAAGTGATAGACATCACGTTGGGCACAAGGGGTGTGGTGGATCTGGTGGCGGGATGGAGGGTCTCAAATGAACCTTCAGGGTCCGACCACAGACAGATCCGCTTCGACCTTGTGAACTTACAAAAAGATGAACAATGGGGGAGAAATCCCAGGAAAACAAACTGGGAGGGCTTTAAAACCGACTTAGTCAGTCGGCTAAAAAATACACCGACCAGATTCCACACAAAGGAGGACTTGGAGATCGCAGCGAGTTTCGTAAGCGATGCTATCAGGGAATCCTTTGAACTGAATTGCCCATTGAGACCGAGAAATGCCTCGGCCGGGGCCTCATGGTGGAACGAGGAGCTATCGGGGCTTAGGACCAGGGTAAAAAGGCTTTTCAATAGGGTTAAAAATATAAATACGTTGGAAGCCTGGGAAAAGCACAAGGCTGCTC